TCAGAGATGTTCTCATTTTTTACCTTCCACAATCCTTGGACCTGTTAAATGAAATATGCTTGGTTTAAAATATTTAAGAAGTTGGGGACAAACGAGATGCCATGGGATCAAAATACAGATGAATCCAGGTACTGCACAGAGAGCTAGAACTGATAGATTAGGTTGTTTTGATATAAGGAGGCTGAAAATTACAGAATACTAGCAGGTTTAATCCGAGTTTAGAAGTCCCACATACAAAATATTCAAATAAACACTGTATTAGTATTTCAACAAAACCATGCTACTAGAGAATGAAACTGAAGATGAGAACTTGTAAAATAAAACTAACCACAAGATGGAGCTGGATGCATTTTAGTTCTTTAATTGAAACGAGCATGCCTAGTAATTATAGAACAACATGTAAAAACTGTGTTTGGGTTCAAATTTGGATCTTCCCCAACACTTTCTATAGAACCTCCAAAATGCTAATCCACATWACAGAATACTGGGAATTCAAAAGTACTCACAACGTTATACTTTTCAAATCCAAGACCGGAATTGTTAACACCTCGAGGAAAGGTCTTCCACCCCCCACCGGCAAAGAAGATTTTAAGCAATGAGCTAGTTATGATGAGTGGTGTGGCATCAGATCAGATTCAACTCCATGCCAAGAGGTCGTGATCCACTTGGCACTCCATATTTGTGTTTAAAACATCAAGTTGGCAAGGTGAGCTATTGGTTCATCCTATCCTATATTAAGACATTGGCTTTCATGCAACTTGGAACATTCTTTACCTTCAACACAAATGTTCCCTACAAAATAATAATAATTTCACAAGATTTGACAAAAGAAATCTTTTAAATACGAAGTTTTCAGCTTTGTTTTTCTTGCTGAATCCAAAGATCGACAATTAAACCCATCCCTACGAATTAAGACAAAAAATAATTCTACCCAACAGGTTCATGGATTTAGAAACAACAAGAAATGAGTTGACCAGGTTCAAAAAATAACACAACAAAGTTTGTTAGCGAAAAAGATTTTAACTAACCTGCATACAGACAAGTTTGGAGTCACCTTGGACATGGATCCTAGTAAACCCTTTCTGAAGAGCATACTTCAACCCTAAAAGAATAGCTCGATATTCAGCAACATTATTGGTTGCTGTACCTAAGCCTTCACGCAGTCTACATATCTACTCCAAGGGAGAGAGAGAGATTAGACATACATGAAAAAGAATAAATAAATAATGTGGGTTCCAAAAGGAATAATGTATACCACACTTCCATCATGTGCTCGCAGAACAGCTCCTGCTCCAGCTTGCCCAGGATTTCCTTTCGAAGCACCATCGAATTCTAGAAAGCAACATTCCTGTACATGAAATATTATGATGGCAACCAAAATCTGTTGTTCAGGTAAATTGAAAATTTAAACTAATATTTTAAAAAGATCTTTTAAGAATTTGGACACTGAGATGAAAGCAAAAATAGCAGTTAGTTTAGCAACAAAACTAAAAAGAGATTCCACTAATTTTCATCCTCGCATTTTTTAGTACCCAAATAAAATATGATAATCATTAAGTAACCWTTTTTTTTTTTGGATAAGAAACTTTATATATAGATGAAAAGCATAGAGATAAAAGACAGCCTAAGGGCGGGGGAAGAGGGCTCCCCCTCCCAAAAACTAGGGAAGTAAAGCACTCTAATCTTGCATAATTGACGAGTGGCTATAATTACAAAAGAATTTTCTATGCTTATAACACCACCAAGAACTGTGTAATTGAAAAGTGTTACAAAAAATTTCTAAAGAGGAGGACTTATCTTCAAAAATTCTATTGTTTCTTTCCATCCAGAGGTTCCAAATAAGGGCTCTAGCTGCACAATTCCATAGAATTTTTGCTTTCCCTTTAAAATGCCACCCCCGAAGAGCTTCATTCACCCACCCATCAATATTCTGAGACAAGCAAATGGAGTACCCAAAGATTTGCAGCAGAAAGAACCACCCCCGAAGAGCAAACTGGTAGTGAAGAAAAATGTGATCTATGGTATCCACATTCTGATTGCAAAGAACACAAACGGAAGGAGAAAGAGCCCAATTTGGACATCTTCGCTGCAGTCTATCTGTTGTGTTTACAGCTCGGTTGGCTAGGATCCAAAGGAAAGCTTTTGCCTTTTTTGGAATTGAGAATTTCCAAAGAAGGGAAGTTAAAGGAGAGTTCAAAAACTTGGGGAGTCGGAGCTTTGCTCCCTCATACCCAGAGGCACCCGCACCCGCCCAAGGCTCGAACCCAGGAGACATTAAGGATTTTTGGTATTAAGCTCATTGGAAGGTTCGAACTTGAGACTTCTAAGCCAGTATGACCAAGAGATCCCAAGTTATTGCCAACTGGGCTGCCCCTTGGGGCCGATTCTAAAATTATATACTTGTATCAAAACTACCATCATACCATGCATGCTAACAAACTTATCATGATCTAACTTGATATCTCAGTTGACAAATGCAACAATTCCGCAGATTACTGTGCTGGCAGGTTCTGAATGTTACAACGAGACAAGGAAACAATCAAACAAATAACTAGTTTAGAAACAGAAATCAATAGTTTCTAGCTGAAGGTCTAAAATAAAAATATTTCCCAGGGCTGTTTGCCATTTCTTTTAAACCTGAAGCTGTGATAGCAGATTGCTGGTGTAATGTTCAGAGAACTTGGGATCTAGGCTTCGGAAGAGGGTTGTTCGACAGAGAAATGGAGAACTGGATGAGAATTGTTCAACGTTTGGAAGCTTTTGAGATAGGAGATGAAACAGATGTAGCAGTGTGACCTTCGGACCCAAACGGACACTTCACTACGAAGTCTGCATACCTCAAGCTAAAGGAAAATTCTCCCAAATTAAATTCCTCTCTAATAACTGGAAGGACCAAAAAAGGTGAAGGTCTTTCTTTCGTCCCCAGCTCATCGTGCGTTAAACACCCAGGAGAAGCTCCAAAGAAAGTGTCCGAATTGGTCTCTGTCCCCATCGGCTTGCTGTCTCTATTGGAAAGGGGCAGAGACTCTAGATCACTTGTTCATTCACTGTCCCATTGCTACTAAAGGATGGCAGTTCTGTTTCAGTGTTTTGATATTAACATTTGTATGCCAAAAGACTTGGAGAGTTGGATTTTGGAATGCTTTCATGGTTGGCACTTAAAAGGAAAGGCTAGAGTCTCATGGAGATGTGCTTTTCGAGCTCTTTTGTGGAATTTATGGCTGGAGAGGAATTCACGCTCCTTTGAAGATAAAGATAAGTCTTGGGAATCTTTTTGTGACAGTGTGCAAGTCTTAGCTTCCTGGTGGTGCATACGAAATACGAAATTCTTTTGTAATTACAGCCTCTCTTTAATCTTACAGGATTGGAGAACCTTTTTGTGATTAGTTCGTTTTTTGGAAGGGGCTGCATTGGCCCCTGTCCGTAGGCTGTTTTGTCCTCTCTTTTCATCAATGAATTGTTTCTTATCCAAAAAAAAAGTCTAAAATAAAAATTGATAGAACTCAAAGGCCAATAGACACATGTTAATAATTTACTTATTTTTTAGTTAGCCACTTAAGATACACTAGGCAATAGATACTGGATTACATGCACCCAATTATTGCTCTGCACCCAATTATTGAGCTAGAGAGCAGAGTATACAGTTGATAGTATTGGTTGATTGTTATGGCAGTGTCAAGACTTTGACTTACACGGTTAGAGGATATTGCTCGGGACACCATGGAATCGTGCGACTTGACATGCTTCCTCAAGGCATCTTTTGGTGTAGAAGCTACAACAGTTTGACCCCCGCAAACATTTAAATCTACATAAACCACAAGTAAATAAGCATTGATAATCAAAGACCATAAGTTGCATACTAGAAGAGCGAAGAAAGACACAGTGCACAAACATTATTTTCTTCTATTAAAATTTCAGTTTAGAAGATAACATGAAATCAACTTACAACATCTTCTGATACAAGAGCTTCTCTTGATCTCTTCTTTGTGGCAGCCTRGTCAGAAGCTYCACCTTTGAGAGAAGTAGYTYCATCYTGGCACAKGAAAAGAAYTWTATATATACACTACTGTCAAGAGTACATAAAKACAGTCCACGTAGRAGRTTGGATAAATTAGGATTATYTATKTTTTTGATAAGAGATAAATCAGKATTATGAARCCMATATAGAGCCTTCTTTAGTTACAAACTAGATGGCCAGATCTAGGAGCAATGAAGCCCATAGGTTGTTCCATGAGAATTATGAAGTAATCAATGTAGAAAAGCATTGTTGATGTCGATTTGCCTTAGATCCCAACTATTAGCCAAGGCCAAAGTAAAAAGTACTCGAATAGTGATGGGTTTCACTACGTGGACTGTCTTTATGTACTCTTGGCAGTAGTGTATATATATAGTTCTTTTCCTGTGCCGGGATGGAGCTACTTCTCTCAAAGGTGAAGCTTCTGACCAGGCTGACACAAAGAAGAGATCAAGAGAAGCTCTTGTATCAGAAGATGTTGTAAGTTGATTTCATGGTTGATTTCATGTTATCTTATAAACTGAAATTTTAATAGAAGTAATGCTTGTGCAATGTGACTTTCTTCCCTCTTCTAGTATGTAACTTATGGTCTTTGATTGTCAATGCTTGTTTACTTGTGGTTTATGTAGATCTAAATGTTTGCAGGGGTCAACTGTTGTAGCTTCTACACCAAAAGATGCCTTGAGGAAGCATGTCAAGTCGCACGATACCGTGTAAGTCAAAGTCTTGACACTGCCAAAACAAGCAACCAATACTATCAACTGTATACTATGCTCTCTAGCTCAATAATTGGGTGCATGTAATCCAGTATCTATTGCCTAGTGTAGCTTAAGTGGCTAACTAAAAAATAA